AAATCCGCGATCATGGAGGTGATCAAAGAAGAAGAAAGTTTCTAGTAACTAAGAATAGTACAAAGCGTTTGGAAGTCGACAAGCGATGCTGGATTTGATCTACGTCGCAAAAAATAGCTGGAGGGGAGAGTCAAGTACGAGCCTCAGTTGCAAATTTCGTTCGTGTGAGGTGGACAAGAGGCATGGTGCGGGTGTTCGGAGCTGGCCACGTAGAATAGCCTAGTGCCACACTGCTCCACCTACTTTCATAAAAAATAATGTCCATCATCAATTCTTTGACCCTCTTGAAATCGCACGTCTATGAAATTGGCTACTGGTTTGTCCCTGTGCATCTTCTGGGCCACCTGCCTTCTTTATCGTGACACGCCCATGCTCACTTCTATCCTGCCCACAACCATGCTCTCCAGCGACACTTTTGCACTCTAACACCGAGCACCCTCTAGCTCGCCCATCTTCCTCGATCACCCATGCACACTCCAACGACATGCAACTATGCAAGGGCCACTTGTTTGATTCCCAACCCGTTGCCCACTTCTTGCATACTCCTGCGTGTGGCTACCTTCGTGTGATCTGTTCCGCATGCTCTGCTTCTCACCATCGGTTCCCCACTCCAAGAGGAATGATCCCACTTCCCAATTCCTTTGGTTGCAGTTTAAATCCCCTCTTAGCATATGCTAAAATCCCCCCTCGGCATATCGAGACTCTTTTAATTGATTGAGATGCTTCACTAGATATTTGGATAATCTAATTTTAAGTAGGAATTTATTGTAAAATTATATTTTTTGGAAGACTAATATCTCTAATATCTTCAATATAAAGTTCTTTTTGGGGCTATGAGAAATGCATATTATGTACACCAATTTATAGGTATGCGAGGATTACTCTTAGATCATTAAGGATAAATGATATATTTATTTATTCAAAGCAATTTATAGGAAAGGTTTGTATTACTTGACAAAATATTTAATTTCTTCGTATGAAATCTTCAATGGAGTTGTAGATATCATTGTACGAACACGGAACATATATATCGGATACATCATGCATAGACTGGTTGAAGTGATTCAACATATTCTAATGTGTAGAACGGTTTCTGATACTATCGACAGTATTTCTGTGAGACTCGAAATAATAGATATATATATCCTACATTGAATTTATAATAGAAGCTCAATTATAGCGATTAAGAAGGATACCTTTTTTAGATAAGCTACATCGTTTAGATATGTTAGGTTTGGTTTGAGTTGATGGGACTATTTATGATCGTTTGGAAGTTAGTGGGACCAATAATACATAAGATGCATAAATATTCATAACAAAATTTGTATGAGTTTAATAATATATTAAACTAGAAAAAATAAAGAAAAATTTTTTTTTTTTGATGGAGTTATTCACTCCACATATTTTTCTTGAAAATCTCTCCATAATTCTGTTTCCATTCTTATTAATGATCACAAATGATGAATATTTATATAATTGGCATTTAATACTTCATATGCTACAACAATTCATAGTGGGGTGATTTTGTATTTATCTAAGTTAGTCCATTAAAGAGAGTAAAAATATATTTATTAGAGAAGGAAAACTTAATCCTTAATATATTGGTCCATTTGAAATAATAACTAGAGTTGAGACATCGTATGTCTGATAATTATAATATATTTCAAGTATCTTCTTGTAAGAAATGTGTTATAGATGAAGTGAAGAGAGTTCCCAAAGATAAAATATAGTTATGTCCTGATTTGACTCTAAGGAGGTCTAGTCAAAACATCTTTACGTACACATTTTAAACTAGCAGATAGGGCAGGAATACAAGTTAAGTAATAGCAACAGGCTTAGAAGCAGCCTCCTTCGATACTCACTAGTGCTTGGCAAGGTTTGGAGAGGGCAAATTATTACGTTCGGTGTCTGGATTCGTCCGGACACCAACCCAGACGCGTCACATCATCAAAATACACCGGGTCCTAGTGTATTTGGGTGACATGGGGCGTCTGGATTGGATGTCCGGATGTCCTATGACTGGACGTAATAATTCACCCTGGAGAAGGAGAAGATTTCTTCCCCCTTCGTAATATAAAGATGCTATGTGCGGAAATAATTTTTGTCCATATGATCGAGTATTGTGGCTCTTTGAGTAATGGAGAGTTGCATTGATAGGCAAAATATTAATGAGTGAGCTTAAGATGAAAATTCTTTAAGTATTACTGTCTTTGAACTTCTAATCATTCTTTTATGAGACTTTTGTAGATTTATATTTGTAGTGGATGTGATTGCGACACATATTTTTGTTGTTGTGGTTGTTATCAATTGTCTATGATGAATGCTTAGCTTGTTTATTTGGTATTGTATTCCAACTATTTATTGTTGAGTTTTCTGTATCACAATCTGATTGTGATTTCTCAAGTTGTACATGTTACATCTACTTCTGCTATTGTGGTTGTATCACAAGAAAGGGTTGCAAAAAAATTGTTCTAAACGTGAAAGAAATGCCATACCATTGTGTTCATACTCTGCCTAAAGTAGACTTGTCAATTTCGGATCACGGGTCAGGTTCGGGTCGAATCCGAAACTAACCCGGCACTATTCGGGCTCAATTTACAATTTTAAAATACAAATTTATTTGAACAAAATAAAAAAAAAAATTAGATCTGAGATAAATAAATAAATATATTCCAATTAATGCTAATAAAAACGAAATTATATTTCAAGAACTTTACATTTTGAAGCATACTATTTCATTTCATATTATTTAGATATTTAATACTTAAAATTTTAATATTATATTTTTATCTCTCTTATATTTCATTCTTATCATCCATACCACCCAATAAATTTCTAGAAAAAAAAATTTACTTAAATATCACTTTATAACATCCTATTTATATATCTAACATCTAAAACTTTAAAATTACATGCAACCATCCTATATTATTTTAATATCAAATATACCACTTATATTTACCATTCATATTTAATATGAAAATGAACTATGTATGATATTTATGTAATATTAAAATTTTAGATGTTAAATATATAAATAGAATAGTTTTAGATGGTATTTATGTAAATGTTCCATTTCTATTATAGATATGTAAAATTAAAATTTTAAATATTAGACATGTAAATAGATAAAATAAAGTGGTAAGTATGTAAATCCCACTTATATTTTTTGGCAAATAGAGAAGCCTTATGCTCGTTATCGTGGACATAATTTAACTCAACATTATACAGACGATTATTTTCAATGCAACCGAAACCAGAGACAATTAAAACGACGAGCATGATCAAAGGAAACTACAAAACAAAAAGGCAACAGATGGAGAGAAATTCAACCACAAATCAAAAGCCAGGAGGCAACGGAGAGCTCAAATCCCAAACAAATCAGTAGTCGGCGGTCGGAAGCTGCTCGTGACTGCGGTTTATGAAGAACAGTTCGTAGACTATTCCGGCGAGCCCGCCGCCAATGAGTGGACCGGCCCAGTAAACCCAGTGGTGCTTCCACTCCCAGCTCACAACCGCAGGTCCGAAAGACACGGCCGGGTTCATGGATGCACCGTCGAAAACCCCTCCGATGAGTATGTTAGCGCCGACTATAAAGCCGATGGCGAGTGGAGCGATGGTTCCCACGCTGCCTCTTTTAGGGTCGACCGCTGTCGCGTAGACCGTGTAGACCAGACCGAAGGTCAGGATGATTTCGAGGACAAGAGCGTTCCAGTCGCTGATATCGGTTAGGCCGAAGGAGCCGACGGGGAGAAAACCGGTGGAGACGCGGAGGAGGAGACAGGCGACGACGGCGCCGAGGAGTTGGGCGACCCAGTACAGAAGGCCGCGGAAGAGGGTAATGTTACCGCCGAGAAAGAGGCCGAATGTCACCGCAGGGTTAACGTGTCCGCCGGAGATGTTTGCGGCGGCGGAAACTGCTACGAATAGAGCAAAGGCGTGAGCTACCGCCGCCGTCAGAAGGCCTGCCGGCGTCGAAGCGCCTCCGGGGGTAAGTTTACCTATAAAAATAATTTAAAAAGTGTCTTTTTTAATTGATAGAAAGCAGAAAAAAAATAACTAATAAAAGAAAGTAAAAAATAAAGGCCAGGGGTTGGGAAGTAAAGAGAAACGGGAAGGTGGAGGAGCAAACTGTAGGCCACGCCGGAGCCTTGGCCGGCGAAGACGAAGATGACGGTGGATATGAACTCGGCAAGGGCGGCCTTGAGAGCTCCAGGATGATAAGCCTCCTCCCTGGATCCGATAGCTATGCGAGTGATCGGCATGTTCGAAAGCTTATCCGCTATACAGAGGGCTATCCACACGAAAACCTTTCCTCGCTTCACTGCTTCCTGTGGGTGTCGAGTGAGCGCCTAGTGAGCTTATATACAAAACCGCCAGTACGAAGAAGAAGGAGTGTGACTGGGAGTAGCCGGTCATCCTGAAATTTAAACGTAAATTAATAAAATGTGATTAAAATAGAAAAGAATTGAATATCCAATATATCAAATCTCTTTAAAATAAGTATAATAATAAAGGAAATTAATAAAAATTTATACTGTGCTAATTTTTTTAAAAAATTAGATCAGAATATATTAACTAAATTATCAAAAATTAAATAATTAAGTTGAATATAAGATAAATTAATTGTTGACAAAATTTATTTTGAGTTGAACAAAATATTTGAATAATTAATCGATTTGTATATTAATTCAATATTTAAATCAAAGAAAATTTCAAATATTATTATGATTCTAATCAGGATATTCACCTAATTCTTCCTTACAAATAGATGATAAGGAAAGCGCCCGAACGGCTCAGTTCCGCTTCGCTTATTATTGTTACAGCTCACACGTTGGAAGGAGAAAATTCGGGTCCCGCCACGTGGCAAAACACATACAGTGTCTGTTGTATTGTTTCTTGCAGCGGATTATTCAAAACAAGGGGTCCACGTTTCTGACCGAGGATATAATGCCACGTCACCATCGGGCCATGGATTGGACGGTGGAGGGCGAGAGATTTGTCTGGGTGTTTATTTGTGGTTCTGGAATGGTCTACACAGTGATTAAAGAAATGAAGCAGTTTTTAGTCACTAATCATAATAATTATTTTTTAATTAAATTAATGACAGACGGCCACGCCCGCTTCGCTGTATAGTACGAAATAAATAGATTAGAAAAATATGCAGTAGATGACTCAACGGCTGACTCGTGCCTAGCTGACTGCCACGTGTTTTTTTAATATTTCTTTTGTCGGGTGAGATCGGGGGTGAAGATGTAATGACAAAAAAAAAAAAGAAAAGGAATACGTATTTTGCATGAAATACGAATAATACTTTTTTATTAGTTTTGCCGACCACTGCGTTTAATTGGACAATTTAAAATTGAGAAGAGGAATAGTACTGGCCGGTGTTGAAGAGTAGAACATCATTCCCTAAGAGCATCTTCAATGGAATTCCAAACGCTTGAATGCCGTCGCTCCGGAGTATAAGTTAAACGTTAAAACTTCCGCTATTTTCTTGCGGATGAACAGTGGGACGCCAGTATTGATGCTGCACTGTTCATCACCGCTATTTTTCTGCATCTACCAAACTTGCCAAGAAACGGCACGAAAGAAGAGAAAGACCGTTAACGAAAAAATGGAGTTTGATTGAAGATGAATCACGACATTTTTAGGTTTCACGGCATTTTGGAGTGAAAAATGTGATTTTCCGTTAGAGATGGTCTAAATGCTCACAAGATTTAGCTCAAATTTGTGAAACTACCCAATTTTGTAGGTTATGAAACATATTAATGGCCCCTCTATTTATTTTATTTTTTGGCTCGGTCTGTTTTTTATTGATAAAATTAGGTGTAATGATGATAATATTAGATATTTCTCTTTTAATTAATAGTTTAGGTATGACAAGATGTTCTGCTTTATTTTAACTCCTTTAAATTCTTTTATTAGTACTTTGTCTTTTCAACTCAACTAAATAGGAAGCAACATTGATTCACTATTCTAGTGATATTCCACCAAAAAAAATCTTAATCAAGCACGAATCTTAATACAAGTATTAGTTGGAGACTTCAAGAATTATATCAGGACGAGTTGAACTCCGATTTCAACAAGCTTATAGTCAAATTGAATATCTGAAGGAGATGAACCAAATGACACAAAAATTTGATCTAATGAACTCTAGGAGGTTATTACTAAAGTTTAATTGTTCTTCATATCCAAAATGAGCTAGTTGATTTTTATAATATATTTTTTACTATGATTTTTTTTTTTTTTTTTTTTTTTCTAGTATTGATTTTTCTTTACTATGTCCAACAGTCGATCTAACTTATAAAATCTAAATTAGATTGTGCTCCAATTAACTCTAGTCAATTGGATCTCCTTCAGTATCATTTGTTAATATTCTTTTTGTGCTATGCTATGATTTCCCTTCTAACCTTATATACAATGGTTTTGTCTTCTTAAAAAATTACTACTTATAATATGTGTTTTGTCAAAATTTTAGGTTAATGAGATATAACTTAAAAGATAGAGAATATTGCAATTCTACCTAGATCCCTAATATTGTCGATAATTTAAAAAACAAGTAAAGGTAGTTATTATGTAAGTGACATCAATCAAAATGACCATACTCATAAAATTTTAAGGAAAATTCAATCGGTGATAGGTTTTCTCATGCCACTAGAAATGAAGGTAAGTTAATTACGCAATGGTCCAAGGTCAGAATGTTGATTTAAAATTAAATATGAACTTAAATTTCCTTACAAAATATTAGAGGTAAAATAAAAAGTAATATCAAAGAAATATTCTATTCTTACTTGAGCACAATCTCAAAAAATTGAAGCCATTTTTCTTAAATTTTCTTGCAATGATTATTCAGAGATAATATGCTATCAAAAATTTACACCCCTATCTCTTATGTATATATGTGCTAGATATTCGTACAAAACTTGAACGCTAATCTATATATCTCTCTACCGCCACGAATATTCCGTGACACAATAAGAGAAGAAACTATATTTCTTATCTTAGTTTAACACATATTTATTCAAAAGTAAAAAAATGTCTAAACTTTCTCTATACATAGATTCTTAAGAAGTTTATAGTTTGTCCAAAATGATCTAGAACCTTCTCCGTAAATAAGGGCCCTTAAAATACTATCAAAATACAAATATAAGTCCATTTGACATTAAGGGAGTAATTTATTTTCCTTCATACAATTTTGATGATCTTATTAAGCATGGCATATATTCTATTTGTGCTTTACCTATGTTATGTGATGATGTGGAGATCAACCATGCACCACAATGATCAACTTTTAAATTAATGTTGTCGGTTCTATAAAAATTGATTCAATGAATTTGGACTTTAAAATACATTTATGAGCGCTTTGAAAAGACTAATACTTTAATAAAATTAAAATTAATTAATATTATTTATTTTTAATAAAACATGACATGGGGCATATATACACATGCAAATATGCAATTGAACATGCAACATAGAGGTTGGAGACAAATGATTGGATCATGGAGCCACAATAATTAATATCACTTTTTTTTTTAAATCTGACATATTATATGTAAAGTAGGGGTGTCAATATTTGACCCGACCAAAAAACCCGACCCGAACCCCGGGTTTTAATGGATTTTTATGAAATAAGTAAATGATATTTCAAAAAATTATAAAAATTCTTGCTCAAATTAAATTAATCTTGATTTATTTTAAATTAATTGAAGTAAATCTTACCTTAATTTGATTTAGATTTAAATAAATTGAATTAAATAAAAAAATTTTCT